AAAATGAAAAGATGATGAGCATGTCTGATAAAGGTGCAAAGGAATGACTTGGCAGTATGCATGAAATGCCTTAAAAATGTATACAGCCATGCACCACATAACGTTTTAGCCCATGATGTTCCACATAAACAATGGTGGTCCCCTAAGATCAGAATGGAGCTGAAAAATGTCTACCACCTAGTGACATCGTAGCCATCATAATGCAGCAGCATAACACACCACTCACATGTTGGTATAAAGTACATCATGCTTGATAATAAACAATGATGTTACTGGCTTGTATATGTACTAATACTATATTTTTTATAAATATTTCACAGTGTACTCCTTCCACTTATTTATTTATTTATTTATTTTAAAAAAACAAGTTAACTGTGAAACAGCCTCTGGCTGGGAGATATTCCAGAAGAAGGCATTATCATTAAAGGACATGTGTGTTATTGCCCCTGAAGACCTTCAGTGACAGAAGATGTGGAGGTGAAAGATAGTGATATTGATGATTCTGACCCTGGGTGGGCCTGACCTGTGTGATTATGTCTTAAGTTTCAACAAAAATGTTTTAAAAAAATTAAAACAGGAAAAAAAAAAACAGAATAAAGATATAAAGAAAAATATTTTTATACAGTGTACAATGTGTGTGTTTTAAGCTAAGTGTTACAGAAGAGTCAAAAAGTTAAAAAAAATTAAAAAGTTTACAAAGTAAAAACATTACAATAAGCTAAGGTTAATTTATTCTTAAAGAAAAATATTCTTTATAAATTTAGTGTAGCCTACATGTACAGTGTTTATCAAGTCTACAGGAGTGTTCAATAACGTCCTAGGCCTTCACATTTACTCACCACTCACCCACTCACTCAGAGCAAATGCCAGACCTTAAGCTCCATTCATGGTGAGTGCCCTCTACAGGTGTATCATTTTTTTTTGTTTTACACTGTATTTTTACTGTACCTTTTTAATGTTTAGGTACATAAATATCTACCCTTGCATTACAATTGTCTACAGTATTCAGTACAGTAACGTGCAGCACGGTATGGTTTATAGTCTAGAATCAACAGGCCATACCTATGTATGTAGTAGGCTGTACCATCTGGGTTTGTGTAAATACACTCTTTGATGTTTTCACTATGACAAAATCTCCAACAACGTATTTCTCAGAATGCAGCCCTGTTGTTAAGTGACTCATGACTACATATCTTTCCACTTATATGAGGTACCTAGACTAGATAAATTCATAGATGCAGAAAGTAGAATACAGATTACCATGGCCTCGAAGCGAGAGTAAATTAGAAGTCATTTTAATGGGTATGGAGTTTCTGTTTGGGATGATGAAAACATTCTGGAAATGGATAGCAGTGACGGTTATGTGACATCATGAATGTACTTAATGTCACTGAATTGTCCACTTTAAAATAATTAAAATGGTCAATTTTATGTTACGTATATTTTACCAGAATTTCTAAAACTTCCATTGCATGATTATAAAGTTTATTAAACCATTCTCCTATTATTGAATATTTGGGTTCTTTTCCCAAATTTTTAAGCAATTAAAAATAATACTAAGATAAAAAATATATATCCTTTGACTCAGCATTTTTATTTGTGGATATTTATCCTAGGTAATAACTAAGATGTGTAAAGATATGTAGATATGTATTTTCCTCCTGGCATTATCTGTAACAGCAAAAATTCAGAAATCTAAATAACTAACGCATAGGATTAGTCAAATAAATTATAGTGCCAAATGGAAAATTAGAAAGCCATTAAAATATGTACTGCAGAGATATATCTATTTATATTAAGAGGGAAATGATTAAAAATAATATGGTTGGCATGATAAACTTTAAAGGAAGTAAATGTTCGTACGTGCATAAGAAAGTATCTGAAAGAATACATAATGGGGTTTTGCCAGTGGTTAGCTAAGAAAATGAAGTGCCACTGGTTTTTTATGCTCTATTTCCTACTTGTCCATATTTTCTGATTTTTTGGCAATGAACACACACTCTTTTTGTAAAAAGAAAAAAAAGTAATAAAAGAAACTTAATTTTGAATAAAACATAAATAACCCTTCCCAGTTATTTTTCCTTTCTCAGAAGTAACACTGTGCTTTTTTTACTGGACAAAGTTAACCAACTCCCCCACTCAAAAAAAAAAAAAAAGAAGAAGAAGAAGAAATCACAAAATGCCAACTGAATGACTGTCTAAAGCTTTTTATTATATGGAAACAGCCAATAATTTTTCCCCAATCTGAGAAACTGCACATTAGATTATACAAGGATATCCCTTTGGGCTTTTGGTTTGCTTCTTGGTTGACCATAGTAGGTACATTACACAGCAGTAATGAAAATATTTGATATTTTTGCCAGTAAGGTGGGCTTTCTTTTAGAAATGAGGAAGATGATGTCCCTGAAGAGTAAGGCTACACACAAAGTGAGACATTCAAGTATCCCAATGGAACCTAGTAAAATTAGAGCAAGAAAACGGAAAGGCCTTTAAGAGTATCCTAAAAGTTTATGCAGCTGTAGAAGGATTAAAACTGTGAATTTAGAGGTATAGGCAAACAGATCCAATCCTAAAGGCATTTTTGTTTGGGTGTCCCACACATTAAGTTGTAAATCTGAAACAGGAAACTTAAAATCATTAAGGTCACGTATTTATAACATCATATTCAATTAGGTTAGAAAAGTGCAATATCTGTCATCATGTCATAAAAAGATGTGTTTTTCTCTCAGATCTCTTATAAAGAAAAGCTCCCTATATTGTTAAGGATAGGGCTGTTTTCAATCAGTTACAAGGAGCAATTCAATTACTAGATGGTTTAGTGCAGTAACTGACTCCAGACTAATTTAATTTCTTTAGGTCTCTAAAGATCAATTGATCTGATTTGTCCCATCCCCAAAGGCTGTTTATGAAAAATTCAGACTTAAATATCTGGAAATGAAATCCAAAACCTTGGCCAGTTTCACACTACTTAGGTCATCTTGCAAACTTTCAGCTAGTCATGTAAGAGTACCGTCTTTGCCCTCAGACCATTGAAAGCTACTTAGCTTCATGTACATGTGAGTGCTCCCACATCAGGATGCTTATTCAATAAGTGGAAAATGTGGCCGCACGCATTATCAAATCTGCCGTTCTAAAGAGCAGTCAGACTGAGTACCTCCTATCTTGTAAACCCACGTGCAGCTACAGGGCTATTTTTACTCTAGGAGTAGTTTATTAAGATTATGAAACATAGAGTTACATGTGATAAAAGTTGTGAGATGAAATGCTCATAGAACAACATGAAGAACTTGTAATTATTTTACATTTTTAGATTTATAAAATGCTGTCATAAATGCCAGCTTATTTTAGTCTCGGAATAAACCTCAGAGGTAAGCAGGGTTATTTTTTCCATTTTCTAGATGAAGGAACAGACTCAGAAGTCTACTGACTTCTCCAGGATCACTCACCCAGGAAAAGGCAAAAGTGAGACTCTAACCCATAACTTTTTTTCTCCCAATATATCGTGTGTACCTCCATGGTCTCAGACAGAAAATATGACACACACTATAAAAACACATCACTACCACCCCACTGTGTCATTGTCTCCATTCTTACTTGCCACCTGAATAAAACTGAGAAAAAGTTCACTTTTAATAATCCCAACTGCATAAACCCAGTCTGCAGCAGGGGTTCGGGCCCTCAGAAAGAGGAAAAGAAAGTCATGCCTAAATGAAGTTGCCTTTTGCAGGTAGACTCCTTTGCTGCGCACACTGCTGGTACCACATTCTCACTGACTTGTGTCCCACCTAATTTGAGAGTTACCACTTGTGCTCTCTCTGCACTTTAAAATGGATTTTCAATCCCAAGCTCAAGTTTTGTTTCCTGATCTCAACACCTCCAGCCACTTGTCAAGCTCTCCAACTATTTAATCTTTCTTTTCTGCTCAGATCCCATAGTTTCTGCTCAACATTCAGCCTCTCCTGCTAACTCATTTGCTTCCCTGCTGAGCCTCTAAGTCTGCCCCCACCAAATCAAACCTCCATCTCACATTCTGCCATTTGGGAAGACTTACGAAGGCTGAGAGAAGGGTTGCTAAAATATATAATTATCTCTTAATTTGAGTTGCCAAGATAGGTTACACAGAAGTGTTGATGTCAGGAGATGTGGCTATGTAGGTAACAAAGAGTGCAGCAGAAACGTGTAGCAATTAGTAGGGAAATTATACAAAGATGTAGAGATAAAGAAAACAAGTGGTTCTAGTAGCTAGGGAACCTCCCCCATCAATGAAGACATTGGGCCACATAAAAGAATTAGTGTGTTTAAGAAATGCAAATAATCAATTAGGTCTAAAAATCTTCTCTTTGAAAAACAATTTTTGATATTCATATGAGGCAAAGTATGTATCTCTATATATTCATTATCTATCACCTTGATGGTCTCAAACTGCATGAACCATTTTAATTGAGTAAACAGTAGGGTAAGTTACAGGCACATAATTGTCACTTATCGTCTTAGAGGTCCTGAGACCTGCCTGATGTCTCTTCCATTAAATATAAGCGATCTACTATATTGGTAAAATTATATGACCTTGAATTAAATTACATCTCCTTGTTTCAAAATTCCAAACTACCTTTACATTCTCTGTGTTAGCAAACATATCCACTTGGGAAGGTAAAAGGCTATCACAGTTCTGTTTCTCTACAGACTGCCACTCATTGAGACAAGAAGCTTAAGAATGTCAAGAGAACTGTCTTTAATAACAATGAAGCCCTATTTTTTTATGGTGGAACAAATGTCCTGACCAAAGAAACCATTTCACTCAGAAATTAAGCATATAATAGATCCAGTCACAGTAGCTATCAGACTTAAGCAGTTTCATATGTACAAGGAATAGGGTACAGAGAATAGAAGACTATATATAGTAAGGTTATGATTCTCTAGTGTTGAAAGGAGTGTTCTTACAAACTCCTTCTTTTCTTGATCTTATCTGAACAAGAAAGTAAACAGAAAATTCTCATTACCTCTCAATGTCAGTGAGCCTGGAGGAGTCCCGGAATCCTTTGGCAAAAGGATTGCTATCTATTTTCAGCTTGGTTATCTGGAAAGAATGGGTACAAAACATTATCATTCGTGAGGTCAAGCAAGTAAAATCTCCATAGCACACCAAGAATATCTTAATGTCTCTCAGTGTCGTGATAATGGTGGAAAGTGCTACACAAGTTCACAAGAGGGACAAATCCCAGCCAGGTGGGATGGTGGGAAAGGCCTCAGAGAGAAGGAGGTATTGAGGACAGGCTAGAGGTTGAAAGACGGATACAGTTAGGGATGGGAGCCTTTGAGGCAAAAGTAGATGTGAAATGGGGTGTGCAGTATTTAATATATTATATAATATGTCAAAGGCCAAGGCTGAAGAGAGGAATGTAAGAACTGCCTAAATAAGTTATGCAGAATTCCAGCACTGATAGGGAATGGGGAACGAAAGTAAGAATGCGGTCTCATTTTTTGTTAGTACTGTGAGTACATATACATACCATAATAGATAAAAGATAAAATGGCCAATAATAGCCTCATGTTCAATATGATATTGGTATACATGACATAAAACCTTCCAAATATAAATTTCCTCCTATCCTCCTTTCCATTTGACTAAATCAGAATCAAATTAGCCCATCTTCTGTTATCCTTCCATGCAATGTTATTTATAAATTCTATGTTTATACGGAAAAATACATTCTAATAATAATCACAGTCTGAAATATTAAATGTCCATGCTGTGGTATTCAGAATTCCCATAGTATTACTATTAGTGTAGAAAGCTCCATTAAATCATATGTACAATGCCTCCGAAAAAGAATACATTAAGTTGCAATGAAAAAATAAAGGAAACACTGATTAAAAGATACTCAACATGGAAAATATCAGAACTGTTAGAGCTGAAAGGAAGCTGAAAGACCATCTAGCCCATGGTCTCATCTGACAGATAATCACACAGAGACTCAAAGAGCACAAGGGCCGAGATGCAGCCGGTCAGTAACTGAATTAGAACTAAGAAAACCTTTAAGGAGTCATAGCTCCTCAGTATCAAAATTAGAACCCATGTTCATCTTTAGAGAGAACTGCATGCAAAAGATTCTTAACAGGGGAAAAAAAAACAATTACAGGCATGTCTTCTTTTTCAGAGTAAGGAGTACACAATCAAAACAGATAGTTTGAAATACTCTTGCCAAAAAACAACTTTCCCCCCCATCAGAGTACATCTACAGAACATTTTAAACAGTTATGAAGAATTTTTTTCATTTCAAAAGAAATGTGTTTTTTTCTTTTCCATGGCTTCTGAATGGGATCTAAAACAATGCACAAGCTGCAAAGACGCTATTTATACCTCACTTAAAATAAAACCCTGCATACTAACCCAGCCAGAGAGACTCCTCTATCAATAACACTGGCAAATTAGAAGATTAACTCTTTGATAATATTACCTTTTAAAAACATTTGCCACTGCCTCAGAAATGCTCATTTCTAGCCCATGAACATTCACTGTCAAGCTCCTAAAGAAAATCACTAAGCTACGAGCATTGGTAAACAGGGAAGCAAAGATGCCACATAAATAAGAAACGTGTTCTCGTGGACAGCAATAGCTAAAGCGTGTAGATGAAGACATAGACCAGAAAGGCTTTATAGAGAACCTTCTCTCACTCACAGCTACCACTCTCTGAATAATCTTGTTTCATCCATTCATTCCAACTAGGGCTCATTTTTGAAGGTCAGTTTTGGGAGGGAAGGAGAAAAATTCTATTTGTTTGAAATAAATTATAAACATCTTCTAAAGTCCAGGCAATCAACATAGTCTACAATTACAAATACCGACAAGATTTTAAAATCCTCCAGGACACGTGCTATGTCTCTTAGTAATGAACAACAATACTTAAAATACGTTCTATTTCTGAAGTGCTTTATAGTTCATTAATATGCTTTCTCAATAATTCATCAGTAAATAATGAGGATTAATCACCACGCACATGCACTGTGCTAGATGTCGGATGACACACACAGCTAATCAGAGCCAGAGCTGGCTCTAAACGTCGCTAAAGAAGGTGACACCAACTCCAATGTATGGTTAGAGACATTAAGGGTAAATCAAACCCACATGAAAATTTCAAACTGAAACTGTGAGGTGAAGCAATAAAGGTAAGGCTACCTTCAAATAGCACATTTATAAAATTGAAAAGTAAACAGGCTTGGCAACGGATAAAATTTTCTACAGATAACAACAGATAATATATCTGATGAAAAACTCATTTTGAAAGTTATTTTTATAGCCATCTCTCTAAGATATGAATTGTACCAAGCTTTTTCTGAGTCTTTACAAACTAAAAGGGTAGACAGTATTATCTATCTGTTCTAATGATTAAAGGTGGACTTTTGACATACTTTACTTCTGAAAAGAATTTTGAAAATCAGATTTCTTGTTCTTTTTCCAAAATGTAAAAACTATTGTCTCAGAATATAATTGAGAAGTTACCTTAATTTCTTCGGTGCTCTAATACCACAGAAAATATATACTCTCAAAACACGTGTTTCTCAATTAGTGTGTCACCATATCTAATAATACTGCCATACTTTGAGCAAAGAAGTAACTTAAATTCAACATGCGTTTTCAGATTTCTTTAAATTTTCTCTCATTATGAGGATTATCTACTTCTAACATCATTTTAATCCAGCTTTCATAATCCCCAGTAGTATCAATAGTAATTTCTTTACATTTTGATATAACTTCAAGCTTCAGGAAAGTTGCAAGAATAGTATAAAGTGCTCTTATACTCCCAGATTTACCAATTCGCTACAGCAATTATTTAATTTTAGTGCACTAATTAGAAAAAGCATTCAAAACAATTGCTTTCTCTATTTCCATTTAATCTAATTCTAGGAAAAATAATTGCTTTTGAACATGAGAGCAGAAAAAATCTGAATGGATCTATTATCACTAAAATTGTGTGCGGGCTCTGGATTGATGATACACATTCCTGAACAGCTTTTATGGGGTATTAATAATTAGCAGCACAGAGGTTGCGGATTAAACTTCTTTGTGAGCCCACCACATTCCTTGTAGCCCACCGTCACTATGCTCTGAACCTACTTGAGTGTCCATAATCAGAACCCCACAAATGTTTGTTGAGCTTTACCTCAAGAACAAGCACAGTCAGAAATATGATCTTAACTCTTCACCAATTATGAACTAAATGAAACCATGACTTTACAGGAAAAGCATTTCATTTTTTAAATTTTAAGATAAAATAATTTTTAAATAGTAAAATTTTAACATTCTAGGTAATCATACATTTTAAAAGGTCAGACATAGAGTTTATGCCACAATATTTAAATAAAAAGCCAGTAGTTGTAAAGAAATTCATTTCTGATGGTGTAGTTTTACATCTCTTTATGAAATTTGGGATAACTGAAAAAATAGCACACTAGAGAACTGATGAGGGAAAGCAGTTGGGTTACAGTCAGTGATTTCAGCTGGACACCATTTCATTCATGTCTGAACAGGGGATGTCTGCAGCTTGTAATGCTGTTGAACAAATCACCTTGATCAAAGGTAATCCTAAAAGAAGTATCAAAAATGAATCAACTGCCAAATATTGTATGTACAGAAACCAGAAGTATGGCTTCCTTATAACTCAAAAAATCTTAAGAGCAGCAATGTTTCTCACTTTTTCAAGAGAAAACACTAACAAGTAAGGTTAGTAGTATGTGCTTAAGAAATGCTGCTGTTTAGTGTGTGTCTACGTATATCCAAATGACTAATTCAGTCCAAACACAACCCTACTTTTTCACATATTTAAATAACACAGAATATAACACAATTTCTAACCAGAATGTTCACTCTTTCAGCATCTCTATTATCTGTAAATAAATGTGTGGAGGGCAGGTTTTGACACTACCTGCTGTGCAAAAGAGAAGGAGACCTTTTGCAGTAGTTATTCTGTATAATATCACTGGACTCTGAATTCAGCTAGGGTTCCCAGCCACAAGGTAAAATTGGCCCTCAGAGACCATTTCTCCAATTATCAGGAAAATATCTGACCAAAGGCATTTAAAAATGAAACCTGACCTACACTTCAACTCTACAGCAATGGTCTGCCTGCTCAAAAACAACGCATGACCTTTAAATCTTAAATTATAAAATAGTTTGTTGAAAGTGTAATGTATTTAGCTTTCATCCAATAATGTAAAGAAATGCAATCATTCCCTTGCAAAAACCAGAGGAAGAAATAGCAAATAAAAGGTCCTATTTTCATTACTTATAAATGAAACTACCAGGCCCAATAAATGAGAAATTTTTTCACAAATTGTTTTGGAAATTGTGACTTAAATTCTAACAGACATAAAAATAGCACTCACGTCCAAAGTTTAAGATATATGAAAGTGGTCCTAAATGTGAATTTTTAAGTCTTTCTCTCTTTTCTCCTCCCTCTTTGTTCTTTGTATGTGAAAAAATTATAATACTATACTTGGTATATATTTACTTTATTTCCTATATATTTTTATGTGATAGGCTGTTATATGCTGTAGGATATATTATTATATGCTACAGGAAAATTACTACATAAACTTGGTAGAGCAGTGAAGTCACAGTAGAAGGTAAGAAGGCTTCAAAAGGGTCAAGGATAACTTTAGAAAATGGCACAGGACTAATGAAAATGCTAACCTGCAAATTTATTGATTCACTTGCACATGTTTATTGAGCACCTACATGAGGTATTTTGATTGGTCTTATGAGGTTTAGAAAGCATTTGCAAAACTGGCCTGTTAGGATACCAAATCAAATTGTTGACTATTAAATGGATTTTTATTTTAAAGGCATATGGCTACGGGTTTAAAAAAGGATATAGAGGAATAAATTCAGACATAGCAGGATCTATGAGGAAATTAATTCTGAATTTAGTCATTGCCATTGTGGTTACTCAGCAATGAGATGATATGACATACTAATCATATCAGTATTTATACTTGATGCAAGAAAGAAAAGCTGGGCACTGATGGCTGGATTTTGATCCCATTTATGATATTAATTAGAAATAAACCTTTGAAAGGAGCAACTTGTGTTGGAATGTGTGTTTATTAGTATCTTCACCAATCTTCATTAGCTATATTTTCAAATTCAGTGTTTGATGACATTGTCAGGGGTCACTTCCCTGGCCTTGCAAATCTATCATCATGCCACCAAAAAGGAAGATTTAAAACCCTGAAGATCAAAACCTCATGCTGGTTCTGTCACTTACCAGGTTTGTGACCTTGGGTGAATGTCTTAAGCACTCTGACCTCAGTTTCTTGTTCTACAAAATGGGACTCATGGGGTGTTCTTCAAGGCCTCAGCGTCAGAATTAAATGACATGTTTAGAAAAAAATGTGGAAAGATTTTTCTAAATTAAAAGTAATAAATCCAAACCACAAATTTTAGCTGGATCCTAATTCAGAGGGGGTTTAGGGGCAGTGGGTCTATCCTGAAATTTTTTTTTTTTTTTTTTTTTTTAGACAGAGTGTCACTCTTGTTACCCAGGCTGGAGTGCAATGGCGCGATCTCGGCTCACCGCAACCTCCGCCTCCTGGGTTCAGGCAATTCTCCTGCCTCAGCCTCCTGAGTAGCTGGGATTACAGGCACGTGCCACCATGCCCAGCTAATTTTTTTTGTATTTTTAGGAGAGATGGGGTTTCACCATGTTGACCAGGATGGTCTCGATCTCTTGACCTCGTGATCCACCCGCCTCGGCCTCCCAAAGTGCTGGGATTACAGGCTTGAGCCACCGCGCCCGGCCTGAAATTTTTAATATAAATGGAATATTAGGTTACATAAAGAACAAATTCTTATAAATTTTTTTAGCTGTGATGAAGATATTGGGATTACAAGAATAATGTCCTAATTGTCAGAATAGGCTTACGGAGTGTTTAGAAGTGTCATGAGGCACGCAACTTAGTTTCAAAAAGGGAGGGAAGAAAATGGGAAGGAAGGAGGAAAGTCCATACGCAGATAGAGAGGAAGTGGGAGGGAGAGAAAATTTTGAAAAAAAGCAAATTTGGCAAAATGTTCATTGTTGAATCTGGGTGGAAGGCATGTGAGGTTCATTTTACTATTTGTCTAGTTTTTTACATGTCTGAAATTTGTTCTAAATAAAAAAAATTGACTGGAAAAACAAGAATTAAATGAGAAAATGTTATTAAAGATGTGGCTCCAGTTGGATGCAGCAAATACTAGCAGATATTCTGACCTCCCATTTAGGATGATCATCATTGTGTTACACTTGCTGATGTGTGGTGTGAGCAGCACATTTGTTAAAAAAAAAAAAAAAAAAAAAAAAAAAAGAGCCTAAAGCGTTGATGCACTCTAAGAAGGATGTCTCAGAGCCTATCAGGGCCAAGAGCTGAGGGGAGGTGAAGTTCTTTCCTTTGTGAACACCAGGCACTCACAGCTTAGAGGGCGAGGGCACTCCCTCTTGAATCTTAACCACCTGGATTCAGATCTGCAATGGGAGGAGCAAGGTCACTTCAGATGACTTATTTAACTGGTGCCTCAATTACCCCAACTGTATGATGCTGAATAAAAATACTATTGTTCCTATCTCACGATATTATTGACAAGATCAAATATGATTATGAATTGAGATGGTGTCTTGCACATAGTAAGTACCCAAATGTTAGCTATTATAATTTGTATTATGTAAATAGGACCCTCCTAGTCCTCCTCCATGATATGAGAGGTCCCACCAACACTTAGGCAGCCTTGCTCTCTCACCTGTTAAACCAAATCTCAGCCATTTTACTTTAAAGTTTATTAGAAACTTTATTTTTTGTTTGTCTCTATAATTTTCACTATAAAGAAATAAAGAAGAAAAACTACCTCTTCTTGCTTTGGCCCGCTTTAAAGAGAATTATGACAAAAGCAATGAGGTTTCACATGACAAGTGTCTATGTCATTCTCAAACATCAATAAGATTTCTTAAGTTAGTATAGATTTAAATTGTTATAATATATTAGCATGATATATATTATAAAAGCTATAAAACTAATTAGTATAAAATGATGAAATGTTTTCAGAATCTTTTTGGAGCCTATGACATTCGCATTCCACATGCCCTCAAATAAATCAAAAACAGGACTGCTAGTTTCAGTGTTCCAGATTCTCAGAGAAACAGCACTAGTGCTTCAGGCCTTTATGGGCCTCCATCTATCCCCCAACTTTTGGCTTGGGCATTCTCTGAATGTTTCCAATCCTATGTTATCAACTTGGAGATAATCAAAGGCTACAATACTTGCCTTTATTATAAGATGATTAGCATGATAACAATTATGCATTAATTTATCTATCTCATTAAGTAATATGTCACTAAAATTTTAAAATCCAAATGGTGACAAATTCTCTTTTGACATTTTTGAGATAGCCCAATCATAGCCACATGCCTTATTTACAGAGCACCTGACAAGCTTCCAAAGGCTTGTTTAGAACAAGCCTACACAGACCACTATATTTGATCTTCATAGCAATCCCCTAAAGTTGTCTGGTCAGTTCTTGGTCCTAATATATATGTAAGGAAATGAGCAGCCACTGGTGAAATGAAATCTACTCAAAGTTGTACAGAAATCCGAGGAGAGTAAGCCTTACACAACCACTCTGGCCTTCTGCCCACATCCCTTTTCCTGGCTTCTATTATCTCATCTGCGTGGGGCTACCTTGTGATGTCAGTTTCATATTGCCTTTCCCGAGAGGTTCCACACCACCTCACTTCCAGGTGACCGACCTCCTCTGGACTCTGAGTCATCTACCAGGCAGTGTCTATAACTAATCACTCAGAACCCCAAACCCAACAATATCAATACAAGAGGAGAGCAGTAGTCCTGGCTACCTATGCCCAATGCAATAAACGCAAGATACAAAGACACAGAGAGTCTATGAACAACTTAATGTATCAAGTAAAATGAGCATGTGACTTCCTTTTACATTGAAGTCTATGAAAAGGAATTCTACTTCTGATTCTTTCTGACGCAAAGAAGTTACTTACCCTCTCTTAGCTTTAGTTTCCTCACCTATTGGAATGTTAGTACTGCTACAGCCCTTCAAGCTTACATTGGGCACAAAAGAAGAAAATGCATAGGAAGTGTCTATCACAGTATATGGCCCTTAGTATGGCCTTGATAAATATTTACTAAGCTGGAATAAGTCATATGGATGAAGAAATGCATTTATTTCATTTTTTTTAATTTATTTTATTATTTTTTTTTGAGGTGGAGTCTCACTTTGTCCCCCAGGCTGGAGTACAGTGGTGCCATCTCTACTCACTGCAATCTCTGTCTCCCAGGTTCAAGTTATTCTCCTGCCTCAGCCTCCCAAGTAGCTGGAATAACAAGCACTTGCCACCACACCTGGCTGATTTTTGTATTTTTAGTAGAGGCGGGGGTTTCACCATGTTGGCCAAGCCGGTCTCGAACTCCTGATCTCAAGAGATCCGTCCACCTTGACCTCCCACAGGTCAAGATCTCAGATTTTTTCAGATTTGGGAATTTTGCATTATACTTACAGGTTAAGCATCCGTAATCCATAAATCTAAAATCTGAAATGCTCCAATGAGCATCTCCTTTGAGTGTCATGTCAGTGCTCAAAAACTTTCAGATTTTGGAGCATTCAGATTTTGAGTTTTTGGATTAGGGATATTCAACCTGCATATAACTCAATAATACAAATTAGATACGTTGATATTAAATATACAACACCTTACATAAATACATATGGCAGTTTACTATCTAAAAAGACATTTAAAATCGTTTTACTAAAATTATCTCAACCTAAATTATAGCTGAATAAACCTCACAAAATATCTAAAGTATAAGCAGTTTGGGCAGTTGGAGAGAATATGTATGTTTAATTCAGCAGAAAAACTGAACTTTTAAGTTTTAGAAGCAACAACAACATGGTTATGCATGTTACCAGGAGGAGGAAAAGGAGGCAGGTAACTTTCTGGAGAAGAAAATGTGAGAAGGCAGATTGGCGCAGGTGTGGGTGGGGAAGTGGGCAGTTAAAAATCTGACCCATCATATAAAGATTCTAGAAAATATAGTGTAATACACAGTCACTCAACACACTCTTAAAGGTCATAGCACTGAAACTCAATAGCTCTCTGCAAAGTGAACATCCATTTTGAGTACTGGGATATCTCTTCTCTCCAAGAAATATAAGAACTTCCTAAATCCTTCTCTTATGCAGGAACTAAATTGTGAACCATACACTTACCAGTTGATTCTGGTAGGCTGTGACTGCCGTAAAAACTGTTTCTGGAAAGATAAAAGTTCTAAATTCTTCAGACTTCAGGTTGAGCAATGAGGCTGTGTGGTCTTTCTTCTTAATGATGTGTACCCTTGGCTGGTACTTATGCATTGAGTTCAAAATTATCTACAACAGAAAGATGGGAAGTACTGAACTTTACGTACTTACACTGCTAAACAGGCCAAATTACAGCAAGACAAGAAAGAATCAAAGCATCTACAATTTCAAAGTCAATTTTAAGATACAGATCTACCCTCTCCAGCCTCAAGGCAAATCATTTTCACAAGATACTGCAGAGTCATTGTTGTGAATCACATTTTGCCACAACAACTGCAGATCACACAGGCCTTTCTAAAATGATAGGGGAGGGGTCATCTGAAGGATAAGTTTTATTTAATTTTTAAAATCAAGTCTTTTAAATACTTTGGTTTGCTAGTCTAGTTAGACCAAAGGACACATGTCTAAATTTTCTAAAATAAGAAATCATACATTCTAAGAGACCAGATTATTTATGGAGAAAAATATAAAAGAGTTTAGAAAAGCAGTGTGGTGTTAGGCAAACTTGGGTTAAAATTTTGAATCTGTCAGTTTCTAGTCCTTTAATCCTGAACCATGTGATTTCGTCTCTCTAATTCCTAGTTTTCTCATATGCAAAAATGGTACTAACCTCATAAGGCTGGCACAGAGAAAACAGGAAGTGCTCAGTAAATATGAACTGTATTATTAGTAGTAATAGAAGGAGTATTTATGACAGCTTCCTTGATTTCCAACTCCGTTATTGAACCAAATCTGAATCATGATAGCCATCTTCCATTCTGTAGCTAGTAAACGTTGCCAAGTACTTCAAAATCATAAACACACCCTTGTTAACAAGGCAGCCAATAGACAGTATTTTTCACATATCTTTATATATGTATATAAAATTGTGTTTTAGGTTTTGGGGTACATGTGAAGAACATGCAAGATTGTTGCATAGGTACATGCATGGCAGTGTGGTTTGCTGCCCTCCTCCCCATCACCTATTCACCTATATCTGGCATTTCTTCCCATGTTATCCCTCCTCAACTCCCTACCCCCCGCTGTCCCTCCCGTAGTATCTAGGCAATAAAATTCAATTTCCAATATAAAAGGTTTTCCACATCTCCCCTCCTGCCATTCAGATAGCTATCTAAGTCTGCAAAATTTGGGGGTATGTCTTTCCGGGGATAAGAGAGGTTACATTGTATGCCCTCCTCTCCAAGGAGCTGGCAGAGAGCGTGACTCTCAGGAGACATCCAATAAACAGCATGGCAGGACCAATGGCACTCTATGCTGGTTGCTGCTGCTAATAATGCAACTGATGGCTCCCTGGCTTTCTTGGCTAACCTGGGTGTGGGGCATGAGTGTTTCTGCTGATTGACTTCAGCAGAATTAAATAAATACTAGTCACTGTGGGATAACTGATATATAATCAGTCTCCTTCTGTGCTGAGACGCAAGCTAACCTAAACTTACAGGGCATTCACTGGGATTGAATTTTGAACACGCTGTCTTTTTATGATCCCAAACTGGAACAGGAATAACTGAAATAAATGGTGTCTTTAAATAAATCAAAATAACATTTTAAAATGATCATATGATCTCTTTGTACAAAGCATTTATTTCAAGGATTTCAAGCTTTTGATAGTCATAAAACTTGAATAAAGTTGAAGCAGTAAAAGCAAACATTTTCCTCCTGTCACTGATATAAGAAAAAAGCAACATTCATCCTATATTCTGAGAAGATAAGAAGAATTTTCAAATACCCATCCACCTATATATACAAATACCAAAATGGAACAAGCAGTAAGCTTTAAATAAGCCACTTCTTTCCCCACTTCCACCACCTGAAGGTTAATTTCCTTTGGGAAGGTTACTGGACTGACTCAGACCCCAGACTCAGCCACTAAGACCTCAGGGCTCCCTGACTCTACTCAAGCTCTCCTGCGACTTGAGGGCTAAGGAACACTAACAGAAATGTGGCCTCTGCTTCACTCAAGAAATAATTCTTGAGAATAACAAAGTTTCCTTTTCTGAAACTAAAAATGTGTCTGTAAGAGAGGCTTCTTCAGAATCTATGCAAAGAAGTTAGCTAAACAACACAGGATCTAACAATCTTTCCTTGTATTAATAGTTTTCAGAACACACTAATTCTGTTGATAAAGGGTTATATTAAATATAATTTTTTTTTTTTTGAGACAAGGTCTTGCTCTGTCACCAGGGCTGAATTGCAGTGGCACAACCACAACTCACTGCAGTCTTCATCTCCCAGGCTCAAGTGATCCTCCCACCTCAGCCTCCGGAGTAGCTGGGACTACAAGCACATGCTACCATATCCAGCTAATTTTTTGTTTTACTTTTTTCACAGAGATGAGGTCTCCCTATGTTGCTCTGGCTGGTTTCAAACTCCTGGGTTCAAACAATCTTCCCACCTCGGCCTCTCAAAGTGCTGGAATTACAGGTGTGAGCCACCATGCCGGGCCAATATAAAAGTTTTAAAGCTAAAATGCATAGAAGCAAATGTCTAAGACTAATCAGTTTTTTAAGGTATAATCTTGGTATAATGAGGCTAGACCCTAGAACTTCTGAAATCTAGTTTAGAGCTACTACTACCCAGTGAAGCTGATGCTAAAAGAAAAGCATTTCAATTATGGGCAACTTATCTCAAAATGAACTCTCAAGGCTTTTTGGAAAGAGCCATATAATTCCTCTAAAAGCCTCATATATAGAAAATTCCAGAATTATAAAAGAATTTCATTTTTTCCTGCAAAAATTTTCATTAAAGTTCAAGAAATTTTAATACAAATGACATTAAGAATGATCATTGACCTACAAAAAAATCACTCCATACTTCATAAATTTTAAACTGAAACAAAATTTGTCAGTAGAAGCATGGTTAAAAAAACGAAAGGAAAATTATGCCAATAACCTTAAAGATAAAGATCAATTATCTTTCTTTTTCAATACAAAAAAAACAGAAGCATATTAAGCTACTTTCAATATCCCAACAGCACCACCACCAGAGTCATGAGTTAAGTGGCTACGCTGACTTCTCTGTAATAAACAGGGTCTCCTACAGGCAGAGGAATAGTGCTAGTACCTCAAGTGATTTATTTGGTTCCAGGTTTAATCTCACCATTTGAAACCAAACCCAGAACTTTCTTGTTATCTATTTATGACCATCTTTGTTGAGAAATGTCTTCTAACACTTTCTCTAAGTTGCACAGATTCGATCCTCACACATTGTATATATGTATCAAAACATCACATGTAACCCAAAAATATGTACAATTATTATCAATTAAAAATTATTAAAAGAAGGTAAAAAATTATGGAAGTCTCTCTGAAGTTTTCTTACCATAAAATCTAAAACAGAATTTTTATGTGAATCTTTATTTAGGAGCATGAAGTAACATCCCAGACAGTACCTTAAAAAGTCATTTTATCAAATATGTAAGGACCTGTATCAATGACTGTTTGTTCTACTAAACTACTGATAAGAACACAGAGTTAATTTCCCTTTTTTCCACATTTTAACAAACTTTATACTGACAAAAAAAATCTAATTGTTTTGTTTTTAATTACAGGTCTTCTCTATGCTTTAATATTCATGAAACTCTCCAAAAAAATTTTTTTAAAAAGGTTACATAATGAGGAAACAGCGTTTTCCCAAACTGATTTGGACATAAACTCCTTTGATTCCATTTCATCTTGCACACATGTATTCTATAGAACACACTTTGGGGAACCCCCATCAGAAGTCCTAGCCCTATTTTCTTTAGGTTTTATTATCTGATATGCTGCTGACAGAAATTAGATGCTTAACCCAAGAACAGGCTGTAGTAGCCTCCAAAAATGTATATTCCGTTAGTTTAGTTGGCTTGAGTGGTACAGCAATTTCCCAAGCAATCAGAAGCCTTGGGAATTCCATGGGACAGAAGATTCCTGACCTTCTTGCATAGAAATGGCACATATAAATGACCTATTACCAAAATCAGTCAAGGTCCCCTGAAAAACAATAAATGTTCCCATAAAACAACTCAGGGTGGGAAGGAGAGAGGGAAAACAAGAAGGGACTCAGAGACAGGCAGTTTTGTGCGACTTGTCCGTTCCACCTCAGGGAACCTGCACAGTCCACAGCACGGTACTTACATGGCCATGTTGATCCAGTTCATTGTTGGTGAGTTTCACCTTTTCAAAAGACACCATTTGTTTGAGTAGTTGCTCACCCGTAAAAGGAGAATCTGGGTGCACATAGAGCCTAAGAAAGTTAGGAGAAAACTTTATGGAGACTTTTAAAAAAAATCTATCTCTGTGGGTTATAAAATGTTCTGATCCTAAAGGAACACACAAACCATATATAAGTGGTAAATTTTATTGCCCCATATACCTTAAATTTATTAATATTGCAATGTCAGAACAACTCTAAAATGTCTAATGTTTTTCTTCATGTTCCAATGATCTAAAAGAGTTAATACTTAACAAATTTTCTATTAAAAGCTGATCAAGACATTTTTTAAAGGTTTTTTTTTTCCTTCTATCTAGTCAACTACTGGTCTGCTTCTATCAAATGCAGAATCTTCTTGCTGAAGGTGCTTTCAAAAGAAAATCTAGGTTACACTAACTGTGTAAGAAGTTTCTATTACAACCATCTTTAAAATAACAATGAAAACATAAATAATTTAAAAGAGAAAATAATTTTAGAGAATCAATTTATTTAAAGTTTTAAAATTTAAAATTTGTATTCTTTGTAAATGCAAGACGGAGTAATTTTAATATAGCGACATGGAGAACTTCCAGTAGTCCAGAGATCAGCTGGGAGTCTGCTGTTCTTCCAGTCACATTAAACACTACTGCTTTCATCATTATCCGTTTATGTGCTCACTAAAAGAGAGTTAAAACAAGCTAGACACACTTCAAATTATTTAGTTATTTGTAAACAGCACAAGCCAAAAAAAAAAAGTACTCACTTTGATGGGGAAAATTTGTTTATCATGTATTGATCAGTTGCTACATGCAAGGCAATCTTTTACTCACTCACAGTTAAAGGCAGGTCATTTTTTCTACCTGTGACAATCGCCTTAAGTGCAGCTCTTTGTAAGTCCCCATCCTGGTATCTTCTTGACATAAATCTTTCTGAAGTCAGAGAGAGACTACAGAACTAATGAGGGGGATCGAAATCCTTGATTTAATAGGACAAATTCCTTTATCCATGTAACACCTTATTTATATAGAAATTTTATATAGGATCCTTGTAACTATAAACATAAATATTTTTATTAGGGCAAAAGCAAGGGATAAGAAGTCATAAAGTCTTCCTTGCAATATTCATGTAAAGAACAAGAAATCTGTGCCATGGTTTGTCACACAGAGGACTAAGAACAGAAGAATTCTGTACCCATGCTGAAACTCACAAAGCCCACCAGGAGCAATGCACAAAAAAGGCTGACAGCACCAAAGATTCTTACCAGAGCTACAGAGAAACTCTAAAGGCTTCAGGCATTTGTCTGCCTGTTAATTCCACTGTTTTTAGGAGCAGTGCTCACAGTTGCCTTTCAATTATGCTTTGATAGCACAACCACTTTTCAAGCACCATGCTTCCAAGACTGTAGCTTTCTTTACAGGTGCAGTTGTTTTACTGATCAGAACCACATTTCTCCCTCTAAAAAGGCTCCAAAATTATTTAAAGTCCTGAAAGCTGATGAAATGTTTCCTCTTTAAGGATCACATTCTCCACATGTAATAGCTAATATTAACATATTTAAATATTAATTACATACTTTAAAGAAAAGGAAATGTCCTATACGAAAATGTAACATTTTAGATCATAAATAATGTCTTGCCTATTATTATGATCAAGTAATACTGTCAAGCATTATTTCTTCTGATTAGAAATGACTGACCAATGACTTTCAGTCTGAAATAAAATGCTTCAAAGTCCTTAAACCATGGGAAATTTTTGCCACCAGTACAAAATTATCACCTCCCAAGTTCTTCACTTCTCTCTTAGAGAGGCAGATAGTATAGCAAACTATTTCTTTTAACAATAATAATAAAGAATCGTTGCTATTGCCTAGAATATTTTTATCCCATAATAAGCTAAACATTTTTATTTCATAGCAATCTGAAAAAGCTGAACTAGGATGAATGAAAAAATATACAGGAAGCCCCTCCTCTCAAGTCCCCCGGAGACTTAAAATTCCAGCAATAGCTTAAACATGCTTCAGTTAAGATAGTGTATTGGTACACACTTTTCTTCTCCAACCAGAACAGATTAGTAACATAAACAAGGCATGTCATATTTCCAAAGTCCTGCTGGCCTGCATCAGCTCCCCATACCTTCAGATAGGAAGAAAATGTATGCTTAATAAGAGTGATTAACTTCTTAGAGGAAAGACTGGAGGGAAAACAAGAAAAAGAGGGTTTGCTTGTAGTAAATGGTTAGGAATCTGCTAAAATACTCTCTCTCTCTGATTTAAAACAATATTGAAAAGTTTGGAAGGAAGCTCAAGAATAATAGTAAACTATTTAATAGTAAATAGAAGAGAATCCTACTTTTACTAATTTTAATATCTATTATAAACTGGTGACTCTTGCTCAATTTTAAAAAAATGAGCAGCAATTGTTTTTTAGATTTTCTTATTCTTGACTGTTATTTAATACACTGATATGGAAGGGCTGGGAAGACGACCTTACTAGTCTCTTCCGAGAATGGAAAACTCTGAGAGATTGCTTTTAATCTCTTTTCTAGTGCACTTAGCATATGATAAGCTCAATAATATAATAAACTACTAATTAAGCTGAACATTTTATCTGAACCATATGTGTAACTGTTGATTCTTTGCCTTCACTGTGACTCCAGACTAGACACAAAGTACCAGCCGTAACTTAACAGTTCTTAAACCTGGACATTTAAATAAACTCTTCACTCTGATATTAACTTTCCATTACAAAAAATTAGTCATTTAACAACTGAAAAGCTATAAGGCTGAGCCTTAGAACCCAAAACATAAATTCAGCTAATATGTTTTGTTTTGTATTAAAATAGGCAGTTACATTCCTGTAACTTCATCTATTATTCTTCATATAAGCAAATATATGTTTTCCCTGTTAGAATACTCATTTGATTAAAACAATAATAACAAACACTTGCATGTGCTTTCTGAAGGATGATACTCCTGGAAAAACTGTATTAGCAATGAATTTCACAAGAGTAAATATAATGATTCCTAATATATTAACTGAAGAATGTTTCATGTAAAAGAACCTGTTGTTGAATTACATTCATCCACTAAAATTATAAAGGAAGAAAATAAGAGTTGGCTTTTATCTTTACTTTAAAATCTCTGAACCCTTTATTGGTCAAAAAAAACCTGAATTTTACCTAAATGGTGTTTATGATGTGGAGTTATAACCACATGATTAACAAATACCATAAGCAACCATTTTACTAAAATACACTCTTCTAAAAAGGATTTTAGGACAACCATTTCATCAGTAGGTTGATTCGGTCTGGTTTTAAACAGCAACTAGAGAGGATGTCTATATTTATATTTATACAAAATGGGTCCACATTTCTAATGAATGCTCAAATTCAAATTTAAGAAAAACTTTGAAATGAATTACTGCCTAACGAAACAAACTTAAAGACAGTGTTTTCTCTATGCACAAACTACCTTTCTCAGAGCCTAGCCCATATTTTGTATAGTCAATCCTAGAGTGTCCAGGCTTGGAATGCTCTCTTGCCAGAGCCCGCTGCTTTAAAAACACACTTGCTTAAAATTCACACAAGCCAGAAACATTCTGACAGAAGCGTTAACAGTTTTCTCAGCGAAAAATCCAGAGGCACAAACCTGGCTGGCAACGGCGGGTCGGCCTTGCCAGCCACCAGCCAGGAGGACCGGTGGTAGGCGTAGCGGTACCTCTTGTTGTCCACAGGGACGATGTCCATCAAGACTATGTACTTGGCCTCAGGATCCACCCCGGAAAAGGACACCCGGATGGTGGGAAACATCCTCCTGACAGAGACAGAAAAAATACCCTGTTTATGCTGACTAAACTGGACCTAATTGGGAAGAGAGAAAGGGCGAGCGGGAAGGAGGCAGGGAGGGAGGGAAGGGGCGGAGCGGGGGGGGGGGGGGGGAAGGGGGGAGGCTTCTTCTAAGCTTAGATAATTTCAAGTGTCACCTTTAAGTAAGTGTTAATTGCTAGGTGAGAAGGTGTGGGTGTGGGTGGGGGTATGTGTTAACAATAGAAAGTCTGTGATTAGGCGGAAACCCTATGCATTTTAATGATCAAGCGCACCTTAAACGTCAAAGGACCCGAAGTCCCTGGAGCTGAACCAGTCACACAACCCACCGGCATCCCAGCCAGAAAAAAAAAAAAAAAAAAAAAAACTGCTCTTGCAAAAGAAAAGCCAAGAGCAGAAGTTTCGTGGAAGGATTTCTTAGAGACCCTGCAGGTATTTTCTGCAGTCCCAAGAGCTACAGCCACCAAGTTTTGCCGGCCTCTGTCCCGTCCCAACCTCCCGCAGCCCTGCGGCTTCCGGCCCGGCTGGAGCCCGCCCAGCTCTGGCGCCAAGAGGCCCCGAGCAGTGCTCCTTTGTACAGGGAATTTTATCGTTTCAAATTTCATTCTTCCTCCCAGGTTTTAATTTTAGTTTTTAATAGGAGTTGGCGGCTTTTGCAAATTGAGACTGATAAAAGGGAAGCTACTCACCTACCTAGATGCACCCAGTAGCTCACCAGGCACCCCTGGCACAAATTCCTCCTCCTTCCAGATCCCGACCCCCGCACCGCCAAACCTTCTCCAGCTCGAGGGAGAGCAGACCACACCCTTCGGGGTTAGTGTGCCTCCCTGGTCCCTGTGCCCTTCTCAACAATCCTGAGAACGCAAATGACTAGAAGTCCTGCAGCTAGCTGGAAGGAAGGAAGCTGGTGGAAAGAAGATGCCCTGGAGCAAAGCTGGCTCTCTGCTCCGTGACCAGCGGGCTCTCACCCAGTTCCAGGAATCGCCCTCAGCTACTCAGGGAGTGTCCTGACTTTCCACACCCCAGCCCCCAAGGCCCAACTACCTGCCCGACTTGGTGATGATCATCTCGGTGCCCAGCTCATGGAATTTGTCCCAAAGCTCCTTGGTCTCCAGGCTGCAGGCGATTTTGGCCATTTCCTCACTGGGGATGATGGGGGTGGTGGGGATCAGCGGCTCAGTGCACAGAGAAGAGGAGGATGGGCTGCTGCCACCGCCTCCACCAAACTCCCCGTGAGCATCCAGGCTGGCCAGCTCACCCAAGGGCTGGGCACAGGACGACTTCTCCACAAATTGCTCTGGAGGCAAAGAGAATGGTGAATGACAGCTGACACTGTCAAACAAGGAAAGATCTGGAAAGAACAGCATAACCACAATGGTCACTTGGATTTGACTCAGGAAAAGTTAAGGTCAGAAACTCCAGGCAGGGCTGTAAGGATGACCCATCACTGTGTAAAATTACCTGGGATTCCCATAGGGTGACACGCCCAGTGTTTCCTGAACAAACTAGCGAGTTCTAGAATGATGGCTTGTCACCACCAGTATTGCAGCCCACTTTGTGAAATAAAAATGTAAGAGTGGAGGAAGGGAAAGGTGATGATCATGAGGGATGAATAACAAATATTTCTATTGTCACCCTTGCAAATTCTAGACTTCGTAGCTCATGGGACCGATACCCGTCCTGCCTCTTTGACAACCAGGAGGGATTTCTCTCCATAGAGACCAAGACAGCAAAGAGATCAGCACCTTCCTCCCTTGGAGAGGAACTTTCCCTTCCTTCCTGGAGTCCTCTCTCCATGAGAGAAAAGGAATGGAGGATAGGAAGGTAAAAGAAAGATGGGGAATGTGGTTTACAAAAAAAACAGTCACTTCATCTCTGTGCCTGACTTTCAGTTTTCTAGGCTTTATGATGAGAATTAGAACATTTTTACACTATTCCTCCCAGCCCAAGATCTTATGAAAGGTGCTATGATACAGCTCGCTAAATCACAAGAGCAGGTTCTGTGGGCCATTTTTCAGAATAGACGTGGAACAATTACTTGAGGGGTGACGTATAAAATTTTTCTTTTTCCCAAAAAGGTTCTAGAAGTGAGGAAAACAACCTCAAACCCAGGCCAGCTTAAAGTGGGAAGAATGCTCTGCCATCCACGACCAGGTTGGAATACTGCTGCCTATGAACCAAACATTCTCCCCAACAGCTGATAAGGGCCTTGGTCTACACCAGTCACTTTGATGGAGTACAGGGAGACTTTTGTAATTGTCCCAATTATCTTCCATCTTAAAAAAGAAACTACTTGAATTTGCAATGTGAAGCTGATCTCTTAAGTGCCCTCAAGAAATCAAAGCCAGTTCTAAATGCATGTATGTGCATGCATATAATGTATGTGGGCATATGGGACATACACAGATCACAAGGTCTTTTATTTCCTACACATCCTCGCATGAAGAAAACAGGAGACCGAGTGTTTTTACTTTTACTTCTCATACAATGATAATCCAATCCATGAAAATGTTTTAACTTAAGAATAATCAAATTAACTGCCATCCTGATTTTTTTTTTTTCAGATTAAAGAAAGGAAACCATGCCATAACAAAGTCTTATTTTCTACTAATATTTTCAGAAACACATTCACATATCTTCAGAGGGAAGTAAAAAGTAGTCTTGATGATTTTTTTTTTTTTTTTCTGACAACTGAAAGCGGCAAACTTCCTAAGCCCCAGACTGACCAATGCATCCGGATGGGAAGTAGGAGAGAAAGAAAATGAAACAGAAATGCTTCAGTGGACTGAAGGTGTTTTTTGAAAAAGACTTCAGGTGTTGAAATGGGCAACCCTGGGACACACTGGAATCCTCCTCCCCACTCTACAGTTTGCTTCAACAAAAGTCTCACATTCTCTCTTAACAGAACTTTCAGGTGTTTCTCTTGCTAGAGTCCCTGGCTTGCAGTCACCTCTGTTGAACTGGCCTGTAAGGGACAAGAATGCCTGCTAGTTCTTTTGGAGCCCATCTAAAAAGCCAGGAGAGGGAAACTCATTTTATAGACTAGTGTCTGTTCATGGGTGGGGGCTTAGTGGTGTTGGAGTTGTGAGCTAGGAATGGGTTTAAAGTTCAAGATTTCTAAATTTTGATAAAAGGTGGTTTTTCTCAGTAAAATAAAGAGAGAAGGAAGTAACGTTGAAATGACAGTGCAGCTGGGGCTGGCATGTTTCCCAATCTGCTGTCTACACTTCTGTCCGGAATTTTAACCTGAAATCCTCTTTTCCTGCTATGTACTAAACTGAGATATTTGCAAAGCATTCAGCAACTATGCATGCTAAACAGCAATGCACAATGTTGAGAACTCCACAACATAACTTTGAAACTGTTAGTTATATTTTTCTAAACAATTGGGGTTTGTTTGTTTCATTGACTGTTTCCATTTCTTTGCCAGGTTTAGACTGAGATGGGAGGTCGGTGGGAAGAACCAGGGTAAGGGAGTGAAAACTTAGAGGTGTTTTGGGTTTTCTGTTTGTTTGTTTTTTTGACATTCTGTTTTCTAGAGATTGACTAGTTTTTTTTTTTTTTCCTTTTTCCTCTGTTACAAGTAGCTACAAGAATTTTACTTCTCTCATCTTTATGCCCAAGCACCTCATTTTAAACTCTAACATTTCCTTTTTTTTCTTGTTATTATTTTGGATATAATATGTTAAAGTGTTGGGAAGGCCAGAGAGAAAAGAAAAATTACCTTAAGTTTGCTACCCAATTTTCACATTTTAGGGATACCAGATGATCAGGATGCACAATAATTATTTCCTGGGGACCCACGAGGCAATGATGAGACTGGTTCTTTCTCTCTCAGTTGTAAAGGGATTTTTAAATATTTACCTTGGGCTGGTTCTTTTCCATGTAATTCACTAGTGATAAAGAGAACATAATCCTTATTCTCCCTTTACTCCTAGCCTGGTGTCTTCTATAAATGGTAAAGGTTGTTAAACAAACAATATAACTGAAAGTAAAGGAATTTGAGAAATGGTTACTTGTTAGTGTTTTTGCCAACCTCAAATGAAAATGTCGACAGTTATAAAATGATGTCTTGGTGATAAATCTGGAGCTTCAGTGAATAAAATGGTTCGCGCAGGGAGAACTGGCTTATTCTACTTCACAGTGGTTTCAAAGAGTTCCCTCTGTATAGTCTATTCAAGTCAGAAGAAAATGAAAATTAAACTGGTTTCTTGTGAAGTCTTTTAGCGTCTCCTTGGTTTCAAACACACAAGCAGGTGTTAAAGGCACAGTAAATCCTGTTGAGCTTTAAAAGGGATTGTACTATTATTTTCCCCTGAATGTTTTTATACTAACATACACACACAACATATGTCCGATCTGATACATGGATTCTAGACAACTGCGGAGACCGACGGGCCCAGGTACAAGATGCACAGCCCATCGCATTCAACAGACGGAAGCCTTCAAAGAAAACTTGGACCGAAAAGAAAAACAATCTCCCACCTACGATGTGTGGCTCATGGCTTGAGCATCAGAAGCTGCTTCGAGCAGCCTGCGACCAGGGACAGGGGGACAGATGGATGCGCACCACCCCCGTTCTCGGCGGAGAGCCGGGTAGCCTGACTTACCCAGGGGTTTGATGGTGTTCTCCGTCGCCTCCTTCTCCTTGGAGCCGCCGCTCGACATGAGCGCGGCAATGGAGAAGGCGTTGGCCCGGGAGGAAAGTTGGGGCTTGGGCGACGCCGTGAACTCCATGGTCCCCAGCACGCGGTCCTGGCCAGGGACGAGGTCGGCTGAACTGCCGTCCAGCTTCCCCAAGGGAGACAAAGACCCGAAACACAGCGCAAAGTTTCCGAGAGCAGTCACAGCGGGGCCAGAGACTCCAGAAGAGTCAGCTCCAACCTCTCAGAGCTCCGCACTAGCCTCTATCACCCACCGCAAAGCCACAGAGCCGCAGAGACTTCGAAGCAGCCAGAGAGGAGGGGACCCACCAGGCACTCCAACGGGTGCGCACGCCCCAGGACGCTCGGCAGGACGACAGGCTGCACAGCCCGAAGGCGGAAATGAGCATCAGCTGCACAAAGCCCTGGGGTCCCGGAGCATCCCGTCAGCGTCCTTCCTCCCTCTGGGGCTGGGGACAGCCGGGACGTCCCAGGCTGCGGTGACGATCAGCGGAGCGCCGCAGCTAGGGCGCGGGCGTGCGGAGCGCGGCGCAGAGCCAGGAACACTGCGCCCCGGCGCTCGCTGCCCTGAGCCTTAATTTGCTGGCGGCGGCGATCCCGGCAGCCCGCAGCCAGTCAGCGCCGAACCACGTCACCGCTTCCTGATTCCGCCGCCGGGGGCGGGGCCGCGGGCCGGGCGCTGAGGGCGCGCCTAAAGCGCGGCGCCCGCGTGGCCTGGCGCCCGGGCTGTACTGTAGCCCAGCGCAGGATCAGGGAAAGGGGTGCCACCACCAGGCTGACGCAGCTGCCGTGGACACCCTCGCCTGGTCTCGCAGTCCGGAGCGGGAGGGCGGTGCGCGCTGTCGGGAGAGGGTACATCATCGCGGCCTAACGCCCGAGATCCCAGCATGGCCCAGTTGGGGAACCTATGACCAGACCAGAGGAAGCTCGGGAGTTCTTGCTTTTTCCATTCTTTTTCTTAACTGCGCTCAAAGTTCCAAAAGAAAGTAGGGAAACGCTCAGCAGAGCGGGAACCTGCTCCTCTGAGCCGGCGCCAACAGGTCAGGTCCATCGTCCTGGCAGATCCTAGGGCTGGGACTCTCATTCGAGGTCCCCAATTTAATCTCCTTGACAGTGGGGCTGAACAAATGCAGCCCTGAAAAGATAAGCTTAGCGAGAACTACGGGCATTTGGCAAAGGATGCTGCTCTCAGAAGCATGGCTTCTGCTCCTCACCAGTGCCCCTCTAGCCTAGGGCTCCTTCCCCCGCCAACCCGCCCGAGGGACTCCGGAAAAATGGGGCTGCTGCCGAAGGAAAGGCGAAGGTCAGGGCGCGGAGCCCTACGGTGACCACGCGACGCGCAGTGCAGTTAGAGTGCAAACCTTACGGGAGAGCCCGGGCTAAGCAGACACCGACCGCTCTGGTTTTGCAAAGGCGGCTGTGACCGGACTTCCCACGGCCTTGTTGGAGGGCGTCCTGTTAGCCCTACTCGGCCTGAATATCTCAAATTCTCTGAATTCGCAGGGTAATCCGCTTCGATTGGAGCCATGTAAACTCAGGCTGACATACACACTCAAGCTGTACATGTAAATATTTGTTCTCTTTTCCAGCCAGTCTGGCTATTAGAAGCCTCTTCGTGGATCTTAAAAATTTTTTTTAAATTAAATTTTAAAACTCCAGTTTTTCACTGCACCACCCACTACTCCTGAAATAAATTTATTGGGGAAAACTGCAAGTTAAAATAGCTGTCGCAAACGTTTGTGTGAACAAAATGATGACATCTAGAAGAGTCATGATTTCAGCCTGTCTTGGTCATCGTGTGTCAATAGGTTTTAACAAGGTGCTGCAAGAAGGTGACTAAAAAATGCGTTCTCATATCACTATCGAAGTTCAAAGTGTCGATTTATAAGTGTTTGGGGAAATTCGTAAAACCATAGATTTTGGTACTGGAAGGAATTTACACTGTCGCCTAGCCTGTCGCCACGTGCGTTTGAGAGAGGAAAACAGGGCCCGGCGTGGCAGAGCTGCCATCTCCTGCCAGTCCACCCCAGCGGCTAGAAGCAGATGGAGGGTAGGACTTACACTGCGGGCCCCGACTCTGATCAGCCCCGGGCCCTGCAGCCACGGCTGGGCTGTTAGCTGAAGAGCCAAAGTAGAGTTAACATAGGCTGGCAAGCTGAGGGCTTTCAAATTAAACCGCAGGATGCTCTGAGGATCCGTTTCCATTCTTAAATTTTGTGCTGGTCTTGGACAATCCAGACGCCTGTCCCTTGTTTTGGTTATTAAAGCCCCCTATGCCAACCCATCTCTCCCCACACACAACACCTTCTCAATATAGGTGACATTTCTTTGTACTGAGTGGAAGGCCCACAATGGTTCCTTTCCCGTATCAAATGCTTAGAATTTGTCTAGAAAGTAAGATTTCTCTCAAGAAGTGGAAATTTTGGGGGGTCGGGGGATGTCATTTTTAGTCTAGACCTTGATACATGCTTCAACAGGGTGTGGCAAATCTTGTTTGCTGAATTTAGTTTTCAAGCACTTGCCTCGAAATTATACTTCATTTAAAAAAAAAAAAAAAAAACAAACCTTGCGGTTGCTTTTCTACACAGAGGAAGACTGTGTCCTTTCTTAATTACCTTAATGATTCAAAGTGGAATATGAATAATATCACGAGAGGAACATTTTCAGAAAAATTGATGAAGCAAGGGGGAAATGGAATTGCCACAAACTTGTTTCCGCCTCCTTTCAAGTGCCTACCCGGCTTTAGCCCAGCTCTGTCTCTTGTGTGCTGGAACCCCCGACTGTTCATCCTTCTACAGGTAAAATACTATACAAGAAAGGATGAGTGATCGGTAGGAGGCAGGCGGCAAACCAGAGATATTGAAAAGGCCACTTTAAACAAATCCGGGTGACCCGTTTGGGGATCCCTAGGCTATGCATCTTGTTGGTGTTGAAACCGCGGCAGTAAGAACATGTGCTGCAACATTATTAACGGGGGCACACTGTCCCTCCTCCTAGATTTATTGCCTTTGCAAATCAATATGATGCCATAAAAACGGGGAAACAGTTCTGGGCAGAGAGGTGCTGTCAAAAGATGATTCAAAGCCTTCCCAAAGCGGAGAGTGCAGGAGGTCTCTTTAAAACCCCACTGATAGCGCAGGTTAATAAAACCACCCGGGGGCTGGAACAAAACAATCACATTAACACATCTCTCTGGGCCCTTCGGCTGACAGCGGAGGCTGCAGTAGTCTGAATGTTAACTTTAACACGCGTCACCCCCGAGACTGCTAGGTTACCTAAACCTCTCAAAGCTTCAGTTTCTTCATCTACGTTAGAACAGGGCCAATAATTCATGCCTATCTGGAAAATAACTGTTTGGATTAATGCCCTAATATGCATAAAATGCCTAACATATAACACAATCAACCCAACGTAAGTAAAGCATAATATAGAGTTTTAAACATATTTAATTTTGAACACCAAATTCTCGATCGGAGAGACATGTCTCTCGGGTGCTCATATATAAAGTAATGGTTTTGGATTGTACACAGAGCATTGGAGCCACATGAGGGTATTGGGCTGTTATTTACATCCCGTTTAAACTTTGGAGCCGAAGAATGTAAAATTTTGTTACACGTCTGAGTTTGGTTAAATGGAATTTGATTATATGGAGGACTGGAAGTTGTCTCCTTATATACACCACTCTCTCAAATTCTCATTTGTAGCTCCCGGAACTCAGAAGACAGTCAACCCCCAAAACTGCCCAGAAGGTAATCGGTTTCTGGCTTTTGGACAATGGTCCCTCGCTTAACGAATGCTAACGAATGCTCTCTTCGCTGGGAGCTGCGGGACCAGTCCCGGCAGGTCTAACCAGTCCTCCTCAGGGGCAGTGGTCAGGAGCAGGGCCGAGACGGTGGGGCAGGGTGCCAAGCGGAGGGTGCAGCCTAGCAGCCTCCATGGGCGGCGGGAGAGAAGGGGAAAAGGGAGATCCTCTTCTCAGCACAAGGGCATCTATCTACTCCCGAACATGGCCGGAGATTTCCGTCCACAGTCACCCTCCAGCTCTTTCTTGGTAGATGCTTTAAAAGCGACAGTAACTGGCTTCGGTGTCTTTGGATCCCTAAATTTGATTTATGGAACAGAAAGACTTCCCGAGCTTAGTGGGCAGAGGAGCTGCAGCCCCTCCAAGGCCACTACGGCGCGTTCCCGGGGCTTGCCGAGAGCAGCGCGCGGCCCCGTGCCCGATGGGGAGCGAGCTGCGCGGCCTTGGATTTCAGTGCGACGCGGGAGGGGTGGACCGAGACTTTCCTCCAAAGATCCTTCCGACGCACACCTGGCGGGTTTTAGTTTCTCGAGCCAAAGTGATTCCGGAGAAGTGGTCCCGGAGAAGCGCTCCCTCGCAGCCTAGCTGCAAGAAGTCGCTGGGAACGTCCCGGCCTCGGGCCGACCCAAGAGACCGGTGGACCAGAAAGCTGAACTAGAAGCGCCCTTGCCCAAGTCTTGCTCTAAAGGCAAAGCAAAGATCCAGCTCCCCTGTGTGTCACTGAAGTTCCTGGGTGGGATGTGCATGGGCGTTTTCCGCCCGAGACCTCAGTCGTGCGCAGCTGTAGCGCAGAGAAACGGATGTCGTGTGGGCATAAGGCGGATCGCGCCTCTCTCCAAGGCCCGTGTGGTCAGGAGGTGAGGGGAAATGTCCTTCCGGCAGAAGCCCGCGGTGCTGCGACGTTAACCCGCCTGGCCTCGGGCTGGGGACGGCGGGCAGCCTAGGGCGCACGTAGTTTCAGCAGCCCCGCTACGTGGGCGCGGGACCCCAGGCCTCACAGTGTCCGCCCTGGGCCGCCTCTAGTACCCACGGCGCGGCGCCTCCGGGCTTCGCAGCTCCTCTCCGGGTCCCCGCGCGCCAGGCCCCGCAGCCCGCTCACAGGACTACCCTCGGGACTGCGACCCCCTCGCTCCTCCCCGCAGCCACTCTCTCCCCGCTCAACCCCCAGGAACTCGCAACCACCGGGACCGGCCCTCTGAGCCCCGGGCCTCCTCCCAGCGGCGGATGAATCAGCGCGTTAGTGTTGGGTGCAAAACTCGCAGCGTGATTAAGAACTGCAAAAGCAAAAGGAAAAAAATCTCTTCTGAGCCTGTGGGCTTGGAAGCCAGACTTACTCTCCTGGCACCCCTGCACCCTCCTTTCTCCTCCCTCGCCTCCTCCATGTGTGCTCCCACCTTCCTTCTGCAACTCTCCCCTTGGCCGCCTTCCCTGTCCCAAAGGCCAGGCTGCTGACGTATGCTATTTATTTTGTATATCATGATTTTTGTATGAATTTTGACTTCTAAAATTATTGCATTAAAATATTATTTTCTTGACTACTGAGTTGGTTGGCGTCTAAATTGTGGGTTCTCACCCCCGTCCTGGGCCTGTCAGAAAGGTTAAGAATTTCATCGAAATGACACGGACCATAAGTAGTAGAACTGGGCTTCCAATGCGAAGCTGTAGCTTTGAAAGCGTCGCTCCTACCTTTACATCGCTCATGGGACTATTACCCTGGAACCCCCATGTTAGGGAGAAAAGCAGACAAGGGATACGGTTCCTGCTTCGGGATGAAGGTCCTGTTGGCTGGGTGCCCT